AACCCTACGGGATAAGTGCATTGGAAGTTCTAAAAATTGTCACAAAAGTGCAATTGAGTCCTAAGCCTTGCAAAAAATGCAATCAAGTCCTAAAACTTGTCACAAAAGTGCAGTCGAGTCCTAAAACTTTCAAAAAGTGCAAACGAATCCTAAAATTTGTTACGAAAATGCAATTGAATCGTAAAAATTTCAAAAGGTGCAATCAACAAAAGGACTTGACTGGACCAATTTGATAAGTTTTGGGACTTGATAGCACTTTTTGAAAGTTTTAGAACTGAATTGCATTCCATGACAAGTTTTAGGACTTAAACACTTTTAGAAAGATGTAGGACTAAATTATACTTTCGTGATAAATTTTAGGACTTTCAATATACTTATCCTGTTTGCATAATTATCAAATCAACAGACGGACTTGAGTGAATAGCCTTGAAATAACTGAATTAATTGGACTAAGCCCGCCACGGTGAAAATTTGGCTTAGCACGTTAATTCATCGGGATGCCCGAAAATATCGCGGGAGAGAACATGTTTAAATTTTTGGGGAAATAAATAATCTGGACCTCACGCAGATCGCATAGGTATCTGTTGACGTTAATTCATCGGCAGTAAGTTATGGCGTGCCCTCGCTCGTGGCATAGAACCCATCGCATGCAGCCACGTTGGAGGGGAGAGACCTAGCTGGACGGCGTCGCGGTTCTTTGCGTAGGTTTCCGACGGTATTGTAGCAGTGTTGCGCATGGGATTGGTAGGTTCGGATCAGAACAGTCAGCAAAATGAGGAAATAAAGAATGGATGATGAGTGAGCCATATTTTTTTCTGGTGTTTGTTGGTGCTCCAAGTGGTTTTGCTGGATGCACATTCGGAGATTTTCACTTGTAGGGGATAAGGTGAAAGAAGAAGAAGAAGAAGAAGAAGAGAGAGGGAAGTAACATATGTCGACGAGTTAAAACCTTGAACCAGATAGCCAACAGTCATGCCATAGATACGTAGGTGCCGATTCAGGACTTCAAGTATAAACGCTGAGAAAATGGAGGAGGAAGAAGAAGAGAGATGGAGACGGCGAAGCAAGACTCCATGGTTGGACTGATGATAGCGTTGGCTAGTGAGATCGGCAGGGAATTATGGGGAAAATAATGTTTGAATTGTCGTCCCATCGTAAGTTTTGTCCATTCTCAGGTTCCATGCACTTGCACGCCATGACTCCATCGGAAAGTCTTCTACTGCTTTTATGATGGATGTGTAGTTTGCAGGCCCCCCTCGTACTTTGATTAATCAATTAGATTAAATAGGAAGCACAATTCTAAGACCACTTGTGGTGCGGAGGATCGGTCCCATCCCCTCCTCTGACTAAAATCTCCGGCCGCGAATGGAAATTATCCTTTTCGACGGCCGTCACTCACTCAATTGCGACGGTCCAATTCAGTTTAATTTACTTAGATTCTAAAAGAGAGAAACAGATTTTACTAGCATAATAATTTTTGATCTACTGTTAGAATAATAGCACAAGCACAAATTCTTGAAGGAGTAGACTCCACAATAATTTTTAATTATTTTTTATTTAAATTTTTGTGGCCCAAAAAAATTGTTATTATCACAGTAGGTTAAGGACTGTCACATAAGCATTTTCCTTCTAACAATGAGCAAACCATGGAGGATCAAGGTGGGATTTTGCTTTGGGGGCGACTTCGCAAATAATCTTGTCTTGGCGATTCTCGATTTGGCAACCTCCGTTCTAAATGATGTTTCGATTTCGTTTTGAGTATATAACACGTTAGATTGGCAAAAAATAAAAGATATATGAGATTGACAAAATGAGGATTTTGGTGCGAATTTTTATTGAGAAACAATCTATTTGAATATATTGAAAATTTTCCAGAAAAAACAAAAACAGAGAGAGCAAATCTGTTGATAATTCTTTCTTTTGTTCCGAAGAAATCGTCGAGATAGAGGCGAAAGCCGAGCCCATTAATGACGTATCAATTCAGATCCACATTCACTTAAAAGCTTAAGCCAATGAGCTGTAAAGTCTATGAATTAATTAGGATAATATTGATTGTGTTGCGGAAACAAATGATCAAAAAGTAAAATAAAAAGAACAATAAAATAACTCAGACACCGGATTTACGTAATTCAATTAATGTGACCAACGTCCACAAAGAGAGCAACAAAACATTCTATTATAAATCAAGTTATACAACGGAGATTATAATCATACTCGAGTTGCTCGAACATTCTCATTATTTCCCAAGCTCTAATTACACCTAATAACTCACATAGTATTTAACCCCATAATTTCTCACAAAATAATATCTCAATTTCATGGAGGAATTACACAAATCTTGCCACAAGAATTTGTCAACCAAACTACTCAAATACTTCTCCAATTTCACGCGCGAAGAAGACTGTCCAGGACGTAATTCGGAAAGAATTACCTACAGCCCCTCGCTCATCGACAACAGCGCAAGAACTAGCAATAGCGAAAGAAGTTCATGTACTCTGAAGCTTTGTCGACTCAAACAAGGAGTACAATTTCCTTGTTTGTTTCTTTCCTCTCTCTTACCCAATCGGCAAGCCCACTCTTTCCGTTCAAAGTCCACTTTCCACGGTCAAGGTCTAACAAACACTTTTGGACTTAAACATGGAAATAAGAAGCCAACAACAATTCGTGAAAACAAAGTGACCCTATCCTGCTTTGCTCGATTTCGTAAGTCCGCAGAAAATCCAACTTTCTGACTTCCTTTAATAGACCAAGCTTCCTTACAATTTATCTCAGGTTGGGTCTCGTTCACGAGCTCAAATTCGAGACATAATTTCAATAAACTCTCAAGGACAAAAACAATGTTAGAATCGGCATAGAAATAATACATTACTCAGCTGAAATTATTCGAGGACATAACTATTTTTTTAGTCGTTATCCTGCCTTTACAGAATTTGAATTTTGCACAACATTAGAATTTACCCAAATCAATGCCAGCGTAACCCAAAGTCGTGCTATTCTTGGAATTATGCTTGGGCGAAGTAGAGATCTTGGCTCTGTGTCTATGAATAATCATGTTTTTACATGAATGATCTTGTCCTCATGTCCTCGCCATCTCGTTATGGCTAAACAGAAATAATGAATGCACTTGACATTACTATGGCTAGATAGCAGCACATTACTAGACTGTTCGCCAATAAGTGCGACATGCGATAGAATTCGGTTTTAGAGCCAACTCTCGTAATCGTGTTAATCATCTAGCAGTGAGTGCAAATATCCTTTATACAAGCGATGAACTTGATAATTCAGTGTAGTCGTGTTTGTTCCTTAATAGGAGAAGCCACTATGTACTTCATGCACATGATCCCATGGCAACTAGCAGCCCATTTTTGAAAAAATATAGGTGCTTGTTGATTGTTCATTAATGATCCCTGTGGAAGGCCGAAGATCTCAAGGTCTTTGTGAGACTATCATGAAAAAGGATTTTCACTCACATTCCGATTCACCGAAGGTGCATTTCAGTAACTGACATTTCATTGATGGACCACGGCATAGATGTACGGGTGGATTCGTCCAACTCGAGCTCTTTCAACTGACTCTCTGATTGACTCTTCGTGCTCCTTCGGAGGAAGAAGGCCGGTCGTCGAGGCTGCGGAAGCTTAAGAGAGTGACTGCTGAACATAAGGACTATGCTTGCCATGGTAGGTCTATCAGCTGGATCTTCCTGAACACCCAGTAAACCAATGTGGAGGCATCTAAGCACTTCATCTATTGAATATGAGTCGCCAATGAACAGATCTAAAACTTCAAGTGGTGTGCCGGCTCTCCAATACTTCCACGCCTATAAAAATTATTTTAGTGAAGGAATTTCAACTTAATTAGATTGGTGCAGTGTAATATACGTTGTAATAGCACAAATGCAACTTACATAGCTGGCAAGATTTTCACCTCCGTCTGATTGGTCGAAGCAGTTATTCTTCTTGCGCTAATGATCTCTAGGATTAGGACACCGAAACTATAGACATCGGACTTCACGGAGATTTGCCCGCGCATTGCATACTCAGGAGACAAGTAACCACTGCAAATCGAATTACATGGTTGTAGCATCCATTATGTTATTAACTTATTATAAGTTGATAAAGCCACATTCTGATGAATATGTATGGCGATTAGCAAGTATATGAGCATGGTGTTGTTTCTAATTCGTAGATCAACCATAAGATAGATCATATAAACAAGAAATTAGTAGTCATCTAAGAAAGAGTTTGAGACTTACAAGGTCCCCACAATTTTCTTAGTGTTCGCCTGAGTTTGATCAACTCCGAAAATCCTAGCCATACCGAAATCTGAAATCTTTGGGTTCGTATCACTGTCTAACAAGATATTGCTGGGTTTTAGATCACGATGAATGATACGGAGTCTAGAATCTTCGTGTAGATAAAGCATTCCTCAAGCGATTCCAGATATTATGTTGTACCGTCTTGACCAATCCAATTTCCTTCTCTTATTAGGCTCTGCATATTTACAAAATTAGAAACCAACTATTTTGGATTGATAAATCGTCGAAGAACTTTCATCAGGTTCCCAGAAGCTAGTGAGAGTCTCAACTTTAAGTTTAGCTAATCACACATACAGTTTCTTCCGCATGCTGTATGGAAAATGACAACTCATTGAATTGTGCGACGTACCAACTAAGAAGTAGTCAAGACTTTTGTTCGGCACAAACTCATAGACAAGTAACTTTTCTTCTCCATCTAAGCAAAACCCGAGCAACCGCACAAGGTTTCGATGTTGAAGCTTTGAGACCAAAACAACCTCATTCTTGAATTCTCCAACACCTTGTCCTGAGCTTTTAGAGAGCCTCTTCACAGCTATTTCTTGTCCATTGGGAAGTCTACCCTGAGATTTGTTAATTTGATTGTTAGAGTACACATGAATAGCTTCCAACCACAACTTCGCATAACAAACGTTGAAGATATTCAAAGATTTCATAAGCCATTGTCAATTTTTGTGACAGATAATACCTGGAAAACTTCACCGAATCCACCCTCACCCAACTTGTTTTGATGAGAGAAATTGTCTGTGGCGGCTTGTATGGTGGCCAAATCGTACTGCAGGAACTCGGCTTTTGTAATTCCATTTACGCCTACAAGACGAACACCACGAGATGGTCATTTCACCAAAAGCATAGAACAGTACATCCCGCATGCAGTTTCATCATTCTATCCAAGTATCCGGCACAGGCTCATATTACGTACTGCTTTGATCTCCCTGGATGGCTTCGTTTGTCTTGGTTGCTTTCCTCCGGCTGAAACGGCATGCGAGGAAGAGAAGCGACACGCCTATGCCAACAGGAACGGCGACGGCAATGATTACCACATTAGATTTGTTGCTTTTGCCTACATATGTGCAACCATATCTTAACAGCATCAGTGTATGTGTTGTTTATGACTGTATGAAAATTTAGAAACTGAAATTGCTACCACAGGCCAGAGCAAATGTAACAAAAAAAAAACAGAGAAAAACAAAAAGAGCACGCTTAAAGAGAAAATGTGAAGAAATTAAAGGTCTATTTGTTTCGGTGAAAACTTCTTGTCACTGAAAATGTTTTCAGGAAATTCAATTTTGGAGAAAACAAACCAATTTTTTTTTATGTTTTGCCCAGAAAACAAGTTGAGAAAATTGACTTGATGTTTAATAATAAGTGAATCAATTAAAGGCAGCTTGTATCTTTAAAAATGGCATGTAACGACTAAAAAAACTAGAATCGACATCTTCTTTATTTATTCTGTAATCCATCAAAATAACAAGAATTAAAAAGATATTAGGAAAGAATTAATGGAATCATATGTGCAAAACATTATGTATGATCCTGTTTGTTTGGGAATGTAACAGAACATGAGCATTATTGACTAAAACATATGAGACTTATTGAAAAAGAGAATAAACATATGATTCTCACTTTGGCGCACAAAAAGGAATCAGCAAAAATGTTTGCCTTCCTGCAAAAGGGGAAATTGTTTTCCCCAATCTAAACTTCTTGTTTTCGGTCCATGGAATACGCTCTTCGTAGATCGACTAGGTGTTCGTTATCCAGACACTAAAAAGTTGGAAAATAATCTTCCGAAAATGATTTTCCTTCAAACAAACGGATCCTAAGCTGTAATCCATAATCCATCCTCCTCACAATCCAATTTCTATTTCCTAATTCCTATGTGAGCGTACCGATTGTTTATCAGAGGTCAACCATTAATTGATTAAAAGCCACCCTTACCAATAGTCATGTAATCCACCTTAGAAAAAATTTTCACCTAAAATGTACCTCATCTTGACTTTGTAGCATTGACGACTTGAAAGAGGCATTAATTTCAATAACTTATAATACCGGCAATATCTTTTTTTTTTTGGGGGGAGCCAAAAATACTTATAATATTTTTCAACCCAGCCAAGAGTTTTCTTAACAAAAAGTTGCAGCATAAACACCGGAGTCGCCACTTAAACTAAAAGCCTAGGACCAAGAAGTAGGGGTGAGCATCATTTCAGGTAGAACCTGGAAAATTTGCTAAGACCCTCTCCAAAGCCCCTCCAATGCACCACAAATCTCACTCACCCTTACCACAAGACAAATGATTAAATTAAAATTCGCCTAATCTGTCACAATTTGAGCTATAACACGCTTATTCAAGTCACGATTCGGCGACATATGTGTACGAATCACAGTTCACCGGTTATTATTGCTTGAGAGATTTGCAAAGAAATGAAGCATATATATAGCCACTGTCAAGAAAATCTTACGCAATTAACTTTATACACCTTTAATTTGAGAGTTATAACCACTCATTCTCTCGCATTAATGATGCATATAATCACTGGTGTAGAATATTTTTTAAAAATAAAGCATAAATGCACGTCTTCTTCGATATAATAAAGAAGCAGAGTTAGGACAGACGAAGCTAAGCAGTAGAAACACACATTTACCTTCAGGTACGGTCACCGGAGCAGGAGGTGGACGCGCCAACGCTAGCGCCGGTGCCGGCGGAGCCGAGGCGTTATAAAAGGGGTAGAGCTGGTACCTCACGTTGCAGCTCGGGGTGAGCAGGCTCCCCCCTTGCTTCCCCTGAGGCAGATTAGCGATCCCGAACTGGAGGCACGTGCCACAGTCGGACGCCGTCAAGTCCGGCGTGCACTGTGCAAGTGCGTACAGCTTCTGCACGCTCGTGACGTTCGCCTCCGCCACCGCGACCTTCTTCCCGGACCCGCCAGCGGAAGCCCTCGGAGCGACGTTGTTCAGGGTTTCTAACAGGACCTGCATGAACTGGATTGGGTCCACGACGTTCCCGTCGTACAGAAGGCGAGTCGGCGTTTCCTCCATGGCCGAGAAGATGGACTCGCTCGAGTACCGCAACATGCACTGGTCGTACCAGATGACGGAGACTTGCTGGTTGGGGCACCTTTGGAGGATATCCTGCTTTCCAGTGGCCACGCAGTCGCTGCATGCGGCGCTGTCAAGGTCGCCGCAGCAGAGGAAGAGCCCGTAGGCCCGGTCGGGAGGGTTTTGGCCGGCAGTGGCGTTCGCGAAGCCGTCGGTGCTGTTGGTGGCGGCGGAGGAGAGGGAAGAGAGGAGGGCGTGGAGGTTGGATTGGTAGGTGGAGTTGGGAGTGAAGAGGGTGGTGTTTGGGCAATCATGATCTATGTAATTAGGTGCAGCTTCAGTGCCGAAAATCTTGATGAAGAAGGAGGAGAGAGAGAGGGAGATGGTGAAGCAAGAATTCATGATTAGGCTAGTTGGATGAATTGATGATTGGGCTTGCGGCACAAGATTGGGGGTGAAATATCACTTTTCTTTTTCTCGAAAAGTTGATGCAAAGTGCACCATTGCAAATTGAAATTCGAGGATCGAGTTTTGAACATTTAAAATTTGGGAAAACACCATCAAAAACCCCAAACTTTGCCATCTGTGACACATTTACCCCAAATTTTTTTTTGTGACACCAAAAACCCCGAACTTTGCTTTTTGTGACACATTTACCCCAATGTATTTAATCCATGGGCATTTTCGTCTTTTTTTTTTTCTTTTTTTTTCCTTTCCGGCGAGGGCTGCCCATCGCCGGATCCGGCGAGGGGGGCCCTCGCCGGCGTGCAGCGAGGCGGCCCTCGCCGGCGTCGGCGAGGTTCGCCCTCGCACGGGCGAGGCGAGCCCTCGCCCGGCTCGAGCGAGGTCGACCCTCGCCGCGTCGGCGAGGGTCGACCTCGCCGAGTCGGGCGAGAGCCGCCCTCGCTCGCCCGGGCGAGGGCGACCCTCGCCGGCGTCGGCGAGGTCCGCCCTCGCACGGGCGAGCGAGGGCGGCCCTTGCCGATCTCGGCGAGGTTGACCCTCGCCGGCGTCGGGCGAGGGTCGCCCTCGCTGGGCGAGCGAGGTGGCCCTCGCCGACGCCGGCGAGGCGGCCCTCGCCGGATCGGGCCGGGCGACCCTCGCCGGCGTCGAGCGAGGGTCGCCCGGCCCGATCTCGGCGAGGCCGCCTCGCCGGCGTCGGGCGAGGGCCACCCTCGCTCGCCCGGCGAGCGACCCTCGCCGCCGACGCCGGCGAGGGCCGCCCTCGCCGGATCCGGCGAGGTCGACCCTCGGCGGCGTCGAGCGAGGGTCGACCTCGCCCGACGGGGCGAGGCCGCCCTCGCTCGCCCGGCGAGGGCGGACCTCGCCCGACGCCGGCGAGGGCGAACCTCGCCGACGCCGGCAGGCGAACCTCGCCCGACGCCGGCAAGGGCCGCCTCGCCGGATCTGGCGAGGGCCGCCCTCGCTCGACGCCGGCGAGGGCCCCCCTCGCCGGTAAGGAAAAAAAAAGAAAAAGCAAAAAAGACGAAAATGCCCATGGACTAAATACATTGGGGTAAATGTGTCACAAAAAGCAAAGTTCGGGATTTTTGGTGTCACAAAAAAAAGTTCGGGGTAAATGTGTCACAGATGGCAAAGTTTGGGGTTTTTGGTGGTTTTTTCCCTTAAAATTTTGAAATTTTGTTCCATATGACATATTTAAACGTTTTAAACCATATAAAAATTAATATCTTAAATCATGAAAAACTATAGAATTTTTTTTTTCTTTGTACGGGCAGGTCAAACGAGATTTTTGACAAGTTAGGACAAACCGTTGAGATATTTTCTCTAAAGACAAATACAGTTAAAGTCCATTCCACGGTGTCAAAGCGACTGGAACTGGGGTGGTTCAGGCCATTCATATTCATGTGGACAGAGGAATAAGGATGGATGGTTGTGAGGATGGAAGACAGCAATTGCCCTCGTACGAGGTCATTGATTAAACTCAATACCTGTGTGCTTGCATTCCCATTTGCTCCAACGTGGTGACTGAGAGGGGAAAAGTGTGGACACTCTTTTAGAGTGCAGGCGAGGATACTTCATCTCCGTCATTAAATTTTAAGGTTGTGTTCGTACGTCCAGATTGGAATTGGAATAGGGATAAGATATAATAAAGATGCATTAAAAATCCTCAAAATATCCTCCGGATTGTAAAAGTATCCCATTATATATTTTGTGCAATTTAAGATAGGACTTAAAGTATTTGAAAATCTGCAATTTAAGATAGTATTAAAAGTCTTTTAAAATCCTTCTTATTTGAAAATCTTTGAAAATCTCATCTCTGATAGGCTCCTCGTGTACGTGATGACTCAAATCCTCTCGACCATTATCGTTAACAAGCAATCTCTTTACGAAATTGACCTCAAGAGCTTGATGACTTTCAACAAACACAACCTCATAGAGTTCTGGTATGACCTCGTGATCAGCGAGAGGAACTTCCTGTGGGTCATGTGGACGGACTCCATCACCGAAGAAAGTGGTGACACCATCCCGGAGGAGCTAAGGGAGGCGACAATAGAGAAGGGGTGCATTGTGGGTGGGCCTGCAAAAGGAGGTTCTGCAACACGGTGCCATTTCAGCATTCCTCATGCACAACAGGTGGAACTTGATGCTCGAACTACTGAGCGAAATGGAGGATGACCTATTCTATTAAGCAAAATTCTGAACTGAAGGCAAGGAAGATCTCTCTTTAGTGTTTCATCAAATACTTGATGAAAGCCTAGTTCAGAGTTGATCAAGAGAGAGATTGTGGAACAATGGAGGTCGAGAATGAGTATCAGTGGTGAAGTAGAGAGAGGAATTGAGGGAGGATTCGGTGATGGTGTAAAAGCTGGAAAACCGACTAAGAGAGATCTTGTTAAGTTAATTTTTGAAATATCCAATTGTGTTCATCCCATCCCCTATGCCGAATTTCTTATTTGCCTTTTTATCTGGATGTATCCGAGTTTATCTAGTTTGGAGAATGTCACCAAACACTGCATAGTTTATCTAGGTGGGGCCGGTGAGGGCGTTGCAACCCTCATCTCG